AATACACTTCATGCACAGGGACAAAAGCTATTCCATGGAAACATTTCAGAGGTGCTCCACAAAGGCCTGCAAGCACTTGTAAAACACTTTGTGTGGTGAGGGTGTTTTTCTCCTTGGCTCCACAAGCAAGTCCTTCAAAAGAGGTCTCCTGAGGCATGAGGTGCGCAAAGTCCATACATAATTAAGTGATACTAGCCATTGTCTGGAGAAATGTGAAGTGTCCTCCAATGACAGTCATGACTCACACGCTGACACTTAGATAAACTGCATAATATTTTCTGCTGCTTTAACTGATAATATCCATGCCATCTTGAGCGGCACAGTTTATTCAAATCCAGATGTGATGATATTATTGTGCAATCATCACCTGGATAAAGACAGCGCTCTTGCTTTTGTATGTGTATTTTGTCCAAGGCTTCCTAAAATCTTACTAAAACATTAATGAAACTTCAAGTCTGGAACAAGAATAGTGATACTCATAAATCATTAGAGGCTGTGTCATGTAATGGTTATACGACTACATTTCAAGACCATGTAGGCTCCTTTCCTAATCTATGCACATTCATTCAAACACTTTGGTGAACTGCATGTGCAGGAGAGGAGTGCCTGCTTTTTGATGAATGTGTATAGGTCAGGAGAGGAAACTACATTATGTGTTAATTGTACTTATTATATGAGAATCTGAAAAAGACTTCTGAGACAGGCCTATCATGACAAATATTTGCCCTGGAACGGTTTGCATCTTGTGAGACTCCTTCAGCACTTGCTTTAATAAGTTACCTTGTAAATATTAGTCCAAAATGGTTATTGGTCTTCTACATGTTTCTCATGAGCATAATTTTCTCACAGAGTGAGAAACAAATTCAGTATTAAGTTATATTCTTGTATGAAAGTTGAATCAGTTTGATTCTAACAGAGGTATTCTAACAAAAGCATTTGTGCTGACATGTTCTGACATTTTACTGAAACTTTCATGAACTAGAAGCCTGCCATGGCAAATTTCCTCAATAGAAAATTTCCCCAACTGAGCTACAGAACAGCTAGCACTTGTTGCAGATAAGAAAGCTGGGAAAGAAAGAATAATTCCTTACTGGACAACAGTACATGTTCAGTTTATGATGCAAAAAATTTGAATTGGACAAAAATGTGAGATATAAGCAAAGCCAGGAAATACTCAAAATTTGATACAGACTTAAAAATGCACCATTCAGTGAAGCTGACAAGTAATTACTGTCAAATCAAAGCTGAGATCTTTGGAGAAAAATAATAATGAATGGTTAAAATATTTTTTGGGTGGAAAAGAAACATGTAAGTAGTGTCGATAAGAAAACATTTAAATATGTGAACCAAACATTGGTTCTCATTAGGCTGAGCATTGGTTCTTTCCAGGAAGCAACTGCCATCTTCAGGAGGACAAATATGCTCCACGGTCAAAAATGACAATGCATACGATGCTCCTAGAAGGCAGTGCTATGAGAAATGCTTAAAAATGTGTTCCGGTTACACCAGTGATGTATTTTGTTCTCATATCATTAAAATGTAAAAAACTACTTGAGATTTCAAAATAAATGGTAAAAAACATGCCTCATCTCAGAGTTCTTTATCTAGAGTCCCCCCCCCCTCTCTCTCTCTCTCTCTCTCTCTCTCTGTGTGTGTGTGTGTGTGTGTGAGAGAGAGAGAGAGAGAGAGAGAGAGAGAGAGAGAGAGAGAGAGAGCGCGCACGAGAGAAAGAGACAGATGGTGCATGAGAGTGAAGCCATAAGTAGAGGTGACAAAATCAGTCTATTTCGGGTTGATGCCACTCCTACATGGATTCATACATATAGCCATTCAGTGTTAAGTTCAGGTTTAAAAAAATCTGAACAAATAATTCAAATTTGAATATGACATATTTTGTCTCACAAGTTGCCTTCCAATATATATATTGGAAGTGTGAAAGCCTATGGATCTGATTCACAGATTAATCTAGAAGGAGATCAAGTTGTTCATACTGGAACTCATTAGGACAGACTTTAAGTATCTCTTGCCTTGAGCTTTGGGCTTGCAGTGCACAACATGTAGGACCTAATCAAGTGCTGGCAGTATGTTGCCTGCAGACTACATGTGGCCTCTTGGCCTTTTTTGCATCTCCACTGAGTCACCACTGCCTTTAAATTAAGTTGCACAGTGGCAATGAGGGGGAAAAAGCTGAAAAACACCCCCTATTTGAAAAATGTTTTTTCTACTGAAATTTAGCAGCAAACCACAGTAACAAAATAGTCCTGTTTTGCTTCTCTCACGCTTTGACATCAAATTCAGGCAACAAACTTAGCAGTGGCAGATCAGGGATACGGTAGTTGGTGGCACTGGAAGGTCATTGTGACCTCCTGATCTCTGGATGTTGCTCACCCTGATTTACACGGAAGATCCAAAAGTGCACCGGGCCTACTTCAGAAAAGCAAAATAAAATACCATGTATCTTTATGAAGCTATACATGCATTAACTGTTTCTATTAATATTATCTACCAAACAATGGATACCTTTTCTACCAGAAGCAGTGGCACCAGCTTTATGGGGGAATTTGGCAAATTAATGGAAGATAAGGCCATCAAGGCTACTAGTCATGATGACTATATATTGTCTAGTGTAGCCTTCCATGCTCTCCCATCACCCCCAGTTTGCAGTTTAAGAGTCATGGTAGCCGGGTTTGTGTGTGTGTGCATGTGTATGATTTCTGGGGTCCACAGCTTGGAGAGAGCTGACCTAGAGGCAGGGCCCTCTTAACAGCATGATGGGCCCCGGGCAAAGCAGTGTACTGGGGCCCCTACGACAACTACAACTACTGTTAATTTTGAAGTTTTCCAATTTTCCAAGGGTTAACATACACAGATTAGTATGGGGCCCACGAGCAAGTGCCCATCAGGCCCATGCGTTAAGACGGCCCTGCCTAGAGGATCAGAGGCAGTATACTGCACAGTATCACTCCCAGTGCGGAGAAGATGGGCAGAAGGGCACTCTTGCATTTATGCCCTGTGCACGGGTTTCCGATAGAAATTTGGCTGGATACTCCCGGAACTGCTGTAGCATGGCTTTGCTCACCTTTTTATGTTCTTAGTGCTAATAAAACAGAAGGTCCTTTGGAAAATTCTTGAAATATGTAGAACAGTAAATCAATGCAACATGGTCCGCTAAGGTAGTGGCGCCTTACGAGTACATATGTTGTTGACTTGCCAGTGCTGGTTAGGGTTTCAGGGAGCTGTTGTCCAAAACATCTGGGGCATACCAAATAGCTTACCCTATACATGTCCGTAATGTGACAAGGATAATTATTTTTGTGGTTTCATATTAGAACGCAGCCTGCCGGGCACTGGTGGTTCTGGTAATGTTCTGCAGAGCAGAATTTGATTCTTAGGTAGGAACATCATATTCATATTAAGAATCATACATTCAACACTGTTTTAAGAAGCCCAGGAATTGGAAGGGATTCAGCAGAGACAAGTGAAAAAAATAAACATATTTGTGGAACATATAATTTATGATGAAAAGCTGAAAGAACTAACTTTATTTGATTTAGAATGAGTTCTTATTAAACACCCATATGAAAAAGAAATAAATTCAAATTTTCTATGACACCAATATCAATCTGCCATCTCATGATGACTTTTTCCACACAAAATTATAGTGTGAATTCAACCTTGGAGAACATAAACAGTTGGGTGAGTGACATGATGTTTCCAAACATCTAACTGGTTGTCATCAAGAAGACTGGAAACAAGTATTAATTGCCACTATTGAAGTAAGGATGTGAAACAACAGGTAAATGTAGAAATAGGAAAGACACAGGTTGGAAGTGAAATATGTTTCCCTGAGGGAGTTTGAGTATCTTCTTCCCTAAGCTATTTAATGAAGAATTAATGGGTTCTCTTGGAAATTTCTCCACCCCAGAGAAACCTCTCATGATGGGTATGAATGGTGTGGTGAAGATTCATACTTGAGTCTGTAAGGTTAAGGTTATTTATTTCATTTCATGTATGTATTATATTCATGCCCCCCGTTTTTCCCTGCAAGGTGGAAATCCTCTTCCTTTCTGTTATATCCTCACATCAGACTTGTGTTGAAGGTTAGGCTGAGTGTTAGTATCTATCACAAAGTCTCTCAGTGAACTTCATGGCTGAGTGGGGATTAGAACCTACATCTCCCCAATCCAAGCCCTTCGTAGTAAAGCAAGGGCTGTTCTGTAAGTCATTGCTATTCACTGGAACCTAATTATAACCAAAGATCATAGCTGAAAAATGTCTCAACAGCCATCTCTAGCTGTTAAAATGGCCTGACCCGGCTAATTTGCATGCTTATGCCTTATATTGGAAAATCTGAAAAAAATGGTTTAACATATATACACACACAGACATAGAGATCTGTGATTTACATGAAGATATTAGTAGCAGTGATAAGTACACTAATAGGCAGAATACAGTCAGAAAGAAGATGCAGGTTTACTGATTGCTCACTATTCTACATAATTTCAATAAGATTATAACACTCATTTACCAGAAAACCTACTATTCTGATGTCTCTCTCCCACATCCCTCAGCCACTGGTTTATTTTCAAGTCACTGTACTTAACTGACACAGAACTGCCTTTTACAAACCAAACTGCATCATAATATTCATACTCCAGCTCTGTAAGAATTGCCTGGAGCTCAGAATCCCGGCACACTTGCAGACTGAAATGGGAAGAAAAGCCAGCCCAAGAGTCAAATATGCCTCAAATAACCTCCACCCACCCCCAACTTGGACACATATGCATGTTATTCTTAGCTATCGATATCAACATGAGAACAGATATTACAGATAGAGAATATATATGTATATGTCGAGAACTAGAAACACACAGAACTACAGCTTCAATTAAGCACGCTTTTTCCTCTTTCCCTGAATATTTCATCTTTATCACAATCCGCAGACAAAGAAAACTCTTTTCCTTAGTAGCAGCAGCAACAATGAAAACTTAATAGCCTACCATTTTCTTTGCACTCTTCAGGAGGTTTAGCCTTTTTCGCAAGTCGTGGATCCAGCCATGATGTTGTCTTTGTGTTATGGCTGAAAAGAAAAAAGATCACCCTGATCAGACACATCCTGAATGGAATCAAGTTTATTCCTTCCGATGTGGTGGTAGAGGGGTGAGGGAGGGGAGAAAGCAGAGAGGTTAGTGCCACAAAATTGCAATCAATATCCTTAATTTGCTTACTGGTTCTAAGTAGACCTGAAGGAGGTGTAAGTGTAATTGTGCAAGGCAGCCTCTAAATTTGGCAGCCTCCGTTCCTTGTCCTCAAAGCAGCTATTTTTATTAAAATCAACTAGAATGTTGCCAAGTTAACCTCATTGAAAATGCAGAACTCATCCAGGGCAAAAGGAATGTAGCGCGTTCTCCAACTGAAAGCTAGTGCAGCAGGCAGATTTCTATACCCATTTGCTGGAGTCTGGGTATAGAATATATATATATATATATATATATATATATATATATATAGAGAGAGAGAGAGAGAGAGAGAGAGAATACATATACATACATACATACATATATATATATATTCTTAATAGCCACATTGACAGGAGACATACAAATTGTAGCATGCCTCAGTGTAGCTCCTTTTCTAACAGAATGATTAATGACACTTTGATGAGCCAACCGTTATCTACTCCATATCTAATTCAGCCCTCATGATAAAAGTACATTTTATAGAAGCTGAAAAGAATCATGTGACCAATTCTCTTGAGCCCAGAATAGTATTTCTCCCGCAGGAATTGGCAATGCCACAGTCTCTGAACTGGTATAAAACTGCTCACAAAGGCAATAGTTTCCCAGATAAATGAATATTAAAAACAGTTAGGCAGGGCTACAGACTAAGCTGTCTAAAACTATGCAACACAGTCAAGCAAATCCAGAGTCAGATAAGCTTAAGGACTAAAAGCTAAAGAGGAGAAATATATAGTGCTGTATGCAACAGTGACTTCACACTAATCACTTCCTTTTACACAAGGCAGGGCATGTAGTTTTTACTTCCCAACTTTATCTATTATAAATCCTTGGGAAGCTCTGCTGGATACCTGAGGGACATTCTGGAACGATATGGGATATAGCGAGAGTTGGTCTACGCAGGTGAAATTGGCAAAACTTGGATGCCCTCTCTTGTGTGAGAGGAAGTACTTTCCTCATCTACAGAGCTATTGTTGGAGACAACCCAGCAGTTCCATATTTTCAAAGATGCCTTTCTTTTGAGAAACACAGCAACTCTCATCTCTTTCCCTTCCCTCTTTCACACATGCCCTGACAGTCCTTTGTAATGCATGTTTTATTTATTAAACACCTCCTCAGAGGCTGCCCACTTTGTACTGTTTACACATTGCTAAATTATTAAGGTTTTTATTTATGTAACATTTGCAGACTAATTTAAAAATGTATGTTTGCCATTTGTTACAAAGGGTAGTGATGATGGGAAGAGATCAAGAAGCCCCGTAAAAATCTAAGTGCATTGTTCCAATTCTCAGGGCAGGAGTAGTGAGATGCTCCTACCCGTAATGAGTCCTGAGTTAAAGTTTGCTTTTTAAATGTTGGTCTCCCCCAATATCCAGTCCTTACATCAAGATTAAATTAAAACCCAAACTGCAACATTTTGGGATAACAATCTGTTTCTGGAACACAGTGATCCATTGAAATCAATGGTGCTTAAGGCACTCATGGCTAGCTTGTCCCATTGTTTCTGGTGGGTGGGATATAAATATAATAAACAAATGCGTAATTATCAAGACCAATAGTTTGTTGGTGGGTCAACAGTAACTAGTCATGATGGCTGTATTTTAACTACAATATACTAACACAAGTGAGAGGTGCTATTAGACACATGTCCCAGCTGTGGCTTTCCCATAAGCATCTGGTGGGTCACAGTGGAAGCAGGAGGCTGAACCAGATCGGTCTTTGGTTCATCTCATGTTCACTATCAATGCTCCTCACTGTGACAATAAACGCACATTTATTTAAATTATTTAAAGCTGCCTTTCTCTAGCTGCCTATCTCTCATTTTCCAGCTCAAAGTTCAAATAACATGGAAGTCTTTGTTAGGTGTACAAGACCTTTGCATATCACACTTAGTGCCTGATTATAGTCCATTTCTCACACTATAATTTGTATCCAAGGGCAAATATTAAAGTATACACTAGCTCACTTCAGAGAGTCAGTGGTTCTCCGTGCCCAGGTGTGAGGAAGCTAAGGGACAATTGTTTTCACAGTTAAAAGGGAAACATATGTCTGTGGTCCAGGTGTGCATTTGCTAAAATTTAACAGTGTTTCTATGGCAACACATACCATAACATTCTTTGAGCAGTATACACAAAACCAGGCAATTGCACAGCCTTCCTGGCCCTGAAGACTGCTAGAAATGTCAGGTGCTGGGACAGGTGCTGCACAAACATAGAGCTTTCTCATATCCTGTGATTGAGAGTATATCCCACAAATCTTGTTTAGGGGACCAGCATGAGCAGAGACTTATTATTATAATTCATATCATCTGTCTATCCAAGTCACAAACTTACAAGAATTGCATGCATGTACATTTATTACAGTGTGCATATCGAGTTATTATTGAGATCTTTTAAATTATGGCTTGTTTTGGATTTAGAAAAGACTTGTGCACCCCTTCAGATGCTGTTTGATGGCAAAGAACAAAGCTTATTTGTGCCTAAATAAATTAAATAAACTATCCATAGAGAGATAATTCTACATTTGGGTTCCAGAGGTAGCACGTTTAAGTTATAAATTATCAATGCAAAGGCAGTTATTTTAATTTGTTCCTGGACTTTCTTTGTATTTTACATATGCTCTTAGAATAAGAGGGGTTTTCAATAAAAATAGTTTCAAATGGATCCTGCCTGTGTAAATTCCACAGTAATATGTGATTTCCCTCCTCCGCCTCAGCCAAAGAAAAGCAAGATATCTACTTTTCAGCAAAGAGTTCTATGAGCACTTATAAACCTCAACCCACCCTTACTCCTCTGATTTCACAGCACCCACTTGCATTCTACTTCCAGACTGTGCTTTTTAAACTTAACCTTTACGAATCCTAAAACTTCAATTACAGCAAACCCCTCAAATAAGAAAACCAAGAATTATTTTCTAAATGTCACCTCCTGCTCACCCGCTCATTCAAAGCATTTGTGCCACTCATGCACTCATTCAAGGCAACCCATTCAAGGCATTCATTGAAGGCAAATTATCACTGGCAGGGAGGATGGAGTGGAAGGAGACAAGAAGAGACCCCAAAAGAGGTGATTATTTCACTGCCATTAACTTTTTATTTCCTGGCTGGCTACTGTTCGGTCAGCCAAGAATCCAGCTGACCTCATCACTAGAAAAAAACATTCAGTAAAATTCAACTCAACATTATCTCCGAGAGCTTAAATCACTAATTAGTTTGGAAGGAATATCTACGGAAACAAAAAAGCACTTTGGTTTGAAGTCAACCTGCAAACTGCAACTTGCAACCCGAACCTGCAATCATGGTAGCCAAAGAAAAGGCCCTGTATACACTCCATACTTACCATTTTATGCCATTTTAACTGTCATGGTATCCCCTTCCTGAAATCCCAATACTTGCAGCTTGGTGAAGGTGCCAAGAATTATTTGTTTTCTAGCCCTGTCCCCTCATAAATACAATTCTAGGGTTCCTGGGAAAAGGGAATGCTTGTTAAACCAGTTTAAATCTGTGGTGTAGACGTGCCAACCTTGTTGCTGGGCAAAAACCAGCCTCTTTGTATCACTGCAGCTTAAGGATTGCTATAAGAGTGGTGTATATGGCAGGCATTCTTAAACATCTCTAGAGCGTTCTTCAAAAAGCAATGAAAATGTCTTCAATTCCCCCTTCCAATGCATGTAGTTGTTTAATTGCAAGAGGATGCAAACAATATTGCAACAAACTGCTTTCTCTGAAGTCCTCAGGAAAGAAGCTGGAAAATAGGCAGGCTTAACAGCATGCTTGGAGTTCCTCAGGAAGGGATCCAGTGAACCCTTGTCCCACCTTCAAAGCAATACAAATATAGGCTTCCTCAGAACTTTTACTAGCTTGTCCACTGGTATGCCTATCTCTGACTGCTTCCCATGTGATTGTAACTAAATATAAGATCATAACAAAAGGAATCCTGGCCCAGAGCATCTAGTCCAGCTTTCTATTCACACAACAGCTGCCACAGGACCCTTCAAATAGGAAATGAGTATAACCGCTCCATCCTGCCTAAGCTCTCTGGAATCTGGTGTAGCTAAGCATACTAGCTAACCCTCCAGTACTGGAAGCAGCATAGAGCCATCAAGGGTAGTAGCCACCAATAGCTTCCTTCTCCATGAATTTATCCAAGCCTCCTTTAAAGCCATCTGAATTGGTGGCTATTACTACTTTCTGTGAATTCCATAGTTTAAATGTGAGCTGTCAGATACCAGTACACCATTACAAGAATTTCTGCCAACCCAACTCCTTATATGAACAGGGCTTTAATACCTAGGGAAGCATTAAAGATAGGGATCCTTAGTGAAAGATTTTATGCACAGAAAAGAAGTTATGCTTGACCAGTAAGGCTGACTGCCACTACAATAGAGCTTTGAAATGGTAATGATCAGCTGATTGTAAACCTTTTGGACCAAGCATGCCTTTCAGGATCTGGACTGCTCTGGTGGTCAGAACCAGAACTACCCCCACAGGATTGGTTCCAGGCCGTGCTAGAGCTTTCAGCCTCCTGGTGAGCCCCAGCAGGAAGCCCTGGGGGAAGAGCTAGATAAGAGCAAGCTCTTCTCTGCAGAAATCAGTAACAGTAACAATATTTTTGTTTGCTGTTCTGCTTATATCCTGTCTGATGCTTGCTGTATCCCCTGCCTTGCCATGCTGCTTCAGCATCACAGGGCTTCCATTTCCTGTTGTGCCCACCTCCTGCCTGACTCATATCCTGCCTTCCTGTGCTGCTTCTTCAATGCAGATGTGCCTGCTAGCTGTGGTTCATCTCCAGCATCTTTCCTCACCTTTGCTGTGTATCCTACCCAGTTATTCTGCCTCAAGGTACCTGCACCTCTGGTTTTCTTCCTGGTTCTTGTCCTTGGCCAGTACCACATCTATGACTTGGACTTGCCATTAAAACTTATGTTTGGATTTTGGACTCTGTCTTGCCTGAAGTTCTTGCCGGGTCTTGCTGCTTCTGCCTTGTCTCCCACCAGTCATGTCCTGGCCTCTGGTGCCTGCCAGAAGCATTTGAGCCAAAGGGGAACAGCTTCCCCTAATCTTGATACTAAGACAGTCCTTCAGTTTGATTCAAAGGAAGGCAAAGGCTTTATTGCCTACACAATTTACAGTACACCACAAAATCAGGCTTCTAGAATTACTAAAAGAAATTTTGAATGAATGTTTAATGAGTGGGTCTACAAATCATGTAAACAATGACAAACATTAACCTTAAAACACATTAGAGGGAAAATTACTTAGATGTGATGGATATCTCAGCAACAGAAGAAACAGAACAGATCTGAGAGAATAAAAAAACAGTGCAAAAGAGGATGTAAAAGAATCACCCTCGTGCCCCTCACCCTGTAATAACCCCGACTCTTCTATTTTGCAAGAATAGCCTTTTTTGGAGGCTGAGTTGAAGTTTGCACCTTATAGATACAATATGGCTATAGGTTTTCCTTATTTATCCAGTGTTGATACTGTTCTGTAGCCTTTCTCTTGATGAAATATGATTTCAGGTCAAACTACAGGCTCAGTTCACAAACATATGAAACTGTAGTTAGTTTAAAACTGAAAGTGTTTGATCTCCTCATGAGTGCAGCAAAAGAGAAAGGGAAAAGGGATTACACAAGTCCAAGGTTTGTGCCACTTGCAGAAGCAAACAATAATTTCCTATTTCATGAGCACTGCAGACAGTAGCTTCCAAGGTGCCCACGTGGTACTTGGATGCTGTGGCAAGAAGCTTTCCCCTGTCTGTGGCTATGCAAAGCGGCAGTCCCTGATGGTGGCTTTGCAGTAGACCTCTCAAGCTGAAGCAAGGATGGCCAGAACATATTCCTCCTTGTGGAGGAGGTTAGGAGGAACAGACATCCTTGTGCGTGACTCAAGTGTAGACCTCTCAGGCTCCACACGGGAATTTTCTCTGTGCATTGTCCACCCTGGGGTCAGTGACAGGAGTGGACTGGCTACCCACTTGCTGGTAGAAGAAACTGCTCTCAGGGATGACCGCAGCCAGCGATCCTCTCTGGGGCACTGCCACATACTTGTTGAGAGGAAACGTGGGGTGCATTAGGCACCCTCACCACTCCTTGAGAGGTTTTCTCTCAAGGATTGGGTGGGAGTTTGAGGTCCTCTGTTGCACTGCCTCAGGTACAGGGCAGTATTGTGGAGGGAGCAGCAGGTAGGGGTGCTAGTCAGCTACCTCATCCCCCCCAGCATGTGCTTTAGGGTATGAGCCCAGTTTGTACTATGGGGTCCAAGAAGATCTTTGAATGGATGTCAAAAGTACAGGTTAGGGGACAAGTGGCTGGAGAGCAGCACTTGTGAAAGGGACCTCGGGGTGTTGGTTGACTGCAGGCTAAACATGAGTCAGCAGTGTGATGCAGTGGTCAAGAGGATGAATGCCATCCTTGGTTGCATAGCCAGAAGCATGGCTTCCAGATTGAGAGAGGTATTACTACCACTCAATACGGCTCTGGTGCGCCTGCAACTGGAGTATTGTGTTCAGTTCTGGGTCCCTCATTACAGGAAGAATATAGCCAAGTTAGAATCAGTGCCGCACAGGGACAGAAGGATAGTGGCTGGATTGCAGGGAAAGCCATATCAGGCGAGACTGAGGGAACTGGGTCTTTTCAGCCTAGAGGAGAGTCCATGGGGCTCTGTTGGCAACATATAGATATGTGAGGGGGTGTCACATGGAGGTGGGTAGAGACCTGTTCTCCCCTGCAGAGGAGGGAAGGACATGCTCCAACAGAGCAAAGCTCAGGGAACCAAAGTTCAGTTTGGTTGCCAGGAAGTACTTCCTGACAGGACCCTGAGGGCTTCCACAGGAGGTCGTTGAGGCCCTATCGGTGAGGGTGTTCAAGAATAGGCTAGACATGCACATGGTGGGCATGTTGTGAGCGGAGTCAGCTAGAGCCGAGGTTTGGACTAGATGGCCCGGGAGGTCCCTTCTGACTCGCTCTGTTTCTATGTTTCTATCTTCGTTTTTTCTGCTATGGAAATATTCTTCCACATTGTCCCTGTGAAGGCTGGAAGTTAACCCAACTGTATTTCAGGACACAAGGCCTGTTTGTGCAATAGTAACTTTTTGCCAGCCAAGTGAGCTGAAATCTACATTGTGATCACAGCGGTTAGAGAACGCAGGCTCGTTCTTCTCCATGTGCTGTTGGGATACTGCCCACAACGACCCCACTGGGTCACTGCGATTCTTTGCTGAACAAGAACGCACCATGATTTATTGCCAAGGTGAGCTGCTGCCTTGTGGGAACTGAGCCACTGGAGATTTGTCATGGCTCCTCTTGACAAATCCTGTAACACCATGAAGTGAAAGAAATCAACTTTGTGTAACTTTCATTAAACGGTTCAGAAAGGATTTTCCTTACCCACTGGTTGATGCTAACCATGCAGATCAAAATGAAAATAAATAAAACGTAGTTCTACTCTAAGCTGAAAACATCTTTTGTTCCCCTGACATCATTAGGAAACATACTTTCTGCGTGATCTTGGGAAATCCACTGTAAGATTATTGATGCTATAATGCATTTACTTCAGTAAGACAAATGTGCATACAGCTGAGCTCTGGATTGTGGCCAGGTGCATAAATTGAAGCTCCATTGCATAATGAATAGGAAGCAAACCAATAACGATGTGATACCGATGATGCTATTGTGTGTGTGTGTGGGGGGGGGGCAGGACCCTCCCTTAAGGTATTTGGGATGTGAACTGAAGGCCACTTACGAAATGCAAAGCTTTAAATAATGTAGTAGCAGACCCTTCACAAGCATGGCATTTTTCAATTTAATATGATTTACATGTTACAATATCTGTTTTTCATCTATTATTTAACAATCTGATATACGTATTATGGATCTCTTCAGGGAAGGTGTTAAACAAATAGCTTTCTGTTGTCTTTTGTTCATTAAAGCAATCTGACACTTTTTACAGCATTAACCGAGCCGATTCATAAAGGGGTGATTTAATAGAAATTCCACAGCGTGAGATCCCCCTTAGTACCCTGAAGACCAGACAAAATGAAAAACCAAACAATTGGAAAAGCTACAAAGATTGTATAAACCTTTGTTTTGCACTTCATAGCAATGCAAATATATATTTGTATATATATTTCTAAAACAGAGCTTGTTTTAACTTTATAGTTTCTATTTCTGATTAGGGTACCAATGTATACCAATGAAGTTAGGAATGGGAAATGTGGCTACCACTTTGCTGAAGCTAAGCAGTCTGGCTTGGTCAGTGCTTGGAACCTGGGAAGCACATGTAGCCTTGGGTGCCATGATGGAAGAAAGGTTGAATATAAATTAATAAACAAGGACTATGGAAACACAGAGAAAATCACTTCTGTGAGGCTTGTGCAAAAGAACTTCCCAATCTTTTATGTACAATAATGTTTCAATAATGTTGAGGATTACATGAGCAAAGCTGGCTGGAGCCGGGGCTCAGACTAGATGGCCCAGTTGGAACCTTCTGACTAGCTTCCCCCCACTCCCTATGTATCTATGATTCAAGTTAGTTGCCCCATTAGGAAAAACAAGCTGTGGGATCAGAGGAACTGTTTCACTTTCATACATAGTGGAACCAGCTGCCTAGAGAGGCGGTGGGATCTCCCACACTAGAGACATTCAAAAGGAAACTGGACAGCCATCTGAATGGGATGGTGTAACTTGGTGTCCTGTAACAGCAGGGGGTTGGATTTGATGGCCTTCATGGCCCCTTCCAAGTCTACTATTCTATGATAGCCTTACTATATTGGTTTTGCATGGGGAAGGGGCAAGATTAATTTTGTTCAGTACAGAATTAAAAAAAACAGATCCAGTTCACACTTCCCATATTAATATTCAGATCTGAACACAGTAATAAGTTTTTTGATGCAGTTTTCTGTTTAAAAAGTGCATACAAAATACATATGCTTGGGAGTATTGCATTTACCAATGTGTACATGAATGAACATGACAAACAAAAAAGGCAAATGTCAGGCTTGCAAAAACTGCATATTTTAGAAAATTGCATACAACAATGAGCATGAATTTGCATAGGCTTAAAAATGAAAGAATGTGGTTCTGGTCTTTAAAAAAGTAGGCTGATGTGGAAGCATAAGAGAATGCACTTGTACTTCTGGGAAGTGAATTCATTTTCCATCCTTCAAAAACTGGATTGTTTCGTTCTTTGGCTGCACTCACTCAGACTCGCCTGGGAATCAGTTTCACAGAACCATTGGGAATAAGTCTTCACCTTCAGTCTGAGAAGACAGGTATGGGAGTGTGCTGCTAATGTCACAGTTCCTATTATGACACATGCCTTTTTCAGGTGGGTAGTACTTACTCAATAAAATAGACTTCTCCCTTCTCTGTGTAAGCCATTTCCCAGTTGTCAGGCAATGGGCCCAATTCATCATTTTCTTCAGGTTTGGGCTGTTTTGTTACATCCATTTCTTCCTTCACTTCTTCAGGTTGGCTATAGACAGGCGCAGGGTAAGGCTGAGAAGTTGTTTCACCTGAGGCACCTGTACTCTTCTCTTCATGTTCACTTGATTCTGCACAAGAGGAGACATGTACACCATGACATATGTGTCATTCCTATGGGATTAATGCAGCCAATGTGCCCAAACATCTGAAGGCTTTGCATCCTATGAATAGGTTAAACCTAGGGCAAAACATATTAAATCTAGGAGTGTAGCAGTGACCTGAAACGTTAGTCCTGCCCTGGGCTGTAGGTTTACAGTAGCATGCAGGAGACTCTTACTTTGAGGGTTCAGGTCAACAGCAGCTTGGTAGAAGCTGGGACTGCCACATGACTGAACCTAAAGAAACCTGGGCATGTGCCGTGGGGTGAGGTTAAGAACGTGAGAGATGAGAGACAGACAGAGACAGATTCATATGTACTACATGAATGAAAAATGAATTAACAAGCTGACTAGTACAGCAAGTCAGATAGTTCCCCTCAAGGCCAGTGCTGCCTGTTATGATGAACGACTGCTTTGTTGTACAGCACAAGGGGTTTCATAACTCCAGATCCCTTTTACTTGGGAGATGCCTTTCAATGCACTGCAATGAGGTTCCATCAAATGTGGTATTAGCATCCAGGTGGAAAAGAAAATACTGCTTTGCTCTTTACCCAGGCGTTTTCTGTTTATGAACTGCAGCTCAGTTTGTGCCTGGGTTTTCAATGTTGATTTTATGATGTGTGATGTATCATAGATAAGTTTTATACTTTAGGTTGAATTATTTAATCAATTGTATCTTGATTGTATCCTACCCCCACTGATATGAGGTGGGGGAGAAATCATGAAATGGATGCAGTTATGGTTCATGTTAACCATGATTTATTGCTTTCTCTTATGGATTGTCTTACTGCTTTGCAGACAAACCATGCTTTTTGGTTTACTTCCCTTCTGCCCATTTTCTCAGCCATGGTGGTTTTGTTTACAGGCTGTTCTTGCCAGGCACCTCTATTTCAGGGCATATATGAAGGCAAACAAACCAGAGATAAGCCACAGTTCTGGGTTCAGACTTTACTACAAGCCACTCTTACAAGCCAGATTTTATGAATAACTAGGAAACTATGCCTTCCATGTGTGGTTTGTAGCTAGTTAAAAAACCTTGGTTTGTTTGCAGAAATTGTTTGGTCACAAGCCATATTTCAACAAACTACACCATAGTTTAGCATTATCTGTAAATAAGATATTGCTTTAGTGCCTTAAGCATGCCCCCTTCATAACCAGGAAGCCACGTCCATATGTGTCAGCAAGTGCAAATGTGTGTAATAAACAAGGAAAGATTTAGTTATAAGATTTAGAATAACTTTTCCTTTCCTTGACGATACTTTTTTTCTACTTTTTCCACTAGTCACCAAACAAAAAGAAACCCCAGGAGAGGAATGAGCAAAAATGTTTTAGAGGTTCACAAGCTTTCTGACTGATTACATTCCTCTTGGGGGTACTGCCAATGCTCATCCTGCACATTGCAGCCTACAATCCTGTGGGATTTCTTTCGGATGCCTGCAAAGTCAGCAACAAGAGTAAAATGAAGGCACCCTTTGATCCAGCTCCATACTTCCGAAAGCAGTGTGTCCTAATGAAGACAATTGATAGTTGTTAAAAAAAAAAAAAAATCAGAGTGCAGTTTGGGGACGGTCTCCCTTCACCCCCCCCCCCATGTTCTTAGGTTAGGATTCATTTAAACACACACACACACACACACACACACACACACACGTATTTTAAATCCCCATTTGACAAGATAGTTTAAGCCAACATATTGCATACGGACAAAGCTTTCTAGGATTGAAAATGGGATTCTAAATTAAGGCTCACTTCCTGTAACCAGGGGCAACATTCCTGCATCTTAGGTGACCTACTTTCAAACATTAAGCTGCTTCAAAAAGTGAGGGAGGAATAAAGGAAGTGGAAATTTGGCTTTCGCATAAAAGCTTTATCATGGGAAAAGGTCAGCAGGTGATGACTCTGAGTCAAAATGACAGTGCTAACACCAAAACACAGAAGTTCTAGTTCTCAAGTTCTAGAATTAGGCGGTTTGCCCTACTAATAGTTCACAATGTAGGATGAGGAATCTGATCAAATGTTCCTTGCAATCCTTACTTTCAGCTGCCTGCTATATAGAACAACAACAACAACAACAAGCTTTTATATACTCTTCAAAGCATTTCATATAATTCATCTGAAAGGTGGATCAACATTAGTATCCCCACGTTGTAGATAAGGGGCTGAGGGGAAGTCCACCATATGGGTATGGGTGTTGGTACAGTTTCTCAGATGACTTGTAGCTATTAGGTGTGCTGAATCAGCACAACAGATGTGGAATGGAAGAGTATTTTATAAGACGTGTGACTGGAAAGTCGTTAAAGAGCCAAGAGGATGGAACAAATACCTTTTGCCCTCTGCTTCCTTGGTGCAGAATGCTGCCCACCACTCTTGGTGAAGACCCGAATCCATTTGTACCTTGTAAGCTGTCCAGAAACTTTTTTTTTAGTAATGAACGGAATAGAAAATAAATAAACAAATAAATAAATAAAGTTCAAAATATGGGGGAAGTGATTTTACTGTATGCTTGCAGTCACGGCCATTTCCACCACACTTTGAAGGTTTGTCTGTCTTCATTCCAAGCCTGTGAAGCCACAAAATTTCTAGCTACTGAAGAAATGCCTACCCAAGATCACATTGTTAGTGTGTTGGCAACCAATATAAACCTGCCCAACAGGCCGCCTGTGCCTGGACACTGTCAAGCGAAGCCACAGAAAATACAGAAGGTCCCAGAGCCAAGAGGTATGGGAAAGACCTCTGTCAGAGAGTTTCTGCTGGTCAAACTAGGCAATATTAGGATTGATGATCTGGCCCAGGAAAATGCAAGACTGCATCTTATGTTTCCAAGAAATTGTCATGTTCCCACAAGAATTTTGATTTTTAAAGAAAAGTATAGCCAACATAACATTGCAGGAAATAGGTAAGTTATTCAGATCTTCAGTTATGACAGGGTTTAGCTTAGCTAGTATCAGATGAAAAGCTGGAGCTTTTAATCCTAGGAAATAGAGCTAATGGTAGCAATGAAGGTAATTTCCACTGCCGTCTTTTTAGCACAATGGTTATTTATAGTGTGAAATTCATCAGTACTCTTCTTTGATGTAACACCTCTTTATAGCAATATATTTTTATGAAACGTCCTTTCTGCAACTTTCAGCGGGACATTTTTGCTTCAGAAATTATAACATACTGTTCCTAATAAATTTATATTAAACAGGAATTTCTCTTTTCCTTTTTGGCCCATTGGTTAACATTAAAAAAGGAACCAGGAGGCATCCACATTATTTCTTCCTGATCTGTCCCAGTGGTAACACATAAAATATTTCCTCAATGAAAGAAAAAAAAGAGTTCCTTTGCTTCTGGTTAGTGTAATTCTTGAAAAACCAGCCTATGGAAGTGTAAGATCAGGCATTTACCAATGTTTGAAAAACCATTGTGAAGTAATGTATAGGTAATGGCCTCATTGTGACAGTGTCTTGTATTTACACAGCATGTATGGGAGTCACTTTGGAATTAGCAGTTAAAGTAATGCTAGACTATTCCTGAGATAAACTGAGAGTTTTGCTTCAGATAATGCATTTGAAGCTGGGAATTAAGGGCACCATCCTGCTTCCCTTCCAGAGATCATGTCCCAGCCTCTGTTCCTGGGTTTCCATTTCCCATGGTCACTCACACCACCACCCAACCTGTTCATTGCTGTTGTCAGACCATAGCCTGTTCACCTACCAATCCTGCTGCCTTTCTCAGGGATTCCAACCTCCTTCACACTTTTTGGTACTCTTGGGAACTCCTGGTGAGCTACTGCTCCCTCCTCCATCATTCTCTCTCTTTGCTTTGGTGTCTCCATTCCACCCACTCCCTCTTTCATGCCTTTCTTCCTTGCCTAGGAAGGGACTCTCCCCCTCCTGAGTGAATTTTAACACTGGATGGAGGAAGGTGAAGAACCCCAAAAGAAGAGCTCCGTCTCAAAACCCTGAATGTGTGGACAGGACCTCAGCTGCCCTTTAGAACTGAGACATAATCCATTTTTTTGTAGAGGCAAAGTCTTTTGCAGAAAGTGCAGATTTTCCCTTTGCTCTCTCAGAAGTCGTCATTCCTTTCTCAAACATACTAGCCAATATAGCCCCCTGCTCTGGAAACACACCAAGCACAACTTTACAGTTATCCATGGATGATACTATCCATCCCATGGGAGGAGGAGTAATGGTGACACGGAATGGGTGCAGTTTGCTTCAACTTTCCCTTTTCTCGCCTCAGCCTTTGCCTTTGCAGCAACAACCCTACACCCCAAGTTGAACTGCTCTTAATAAGAACATGGAACTAAAAGTTTCCCTATGTTAGTGGATCAATGTGAGTGAACTACCTATGATTTGAAAAAGAAGCAGACAAATGAATTCTGTCATATGTTCCTATTTGCTTCTACCTGGCCTTCACCAATAACTCACTGCTAATGCTCCTAGCTACAATTATTTATCCAAGCAGAAACAAGCTGGAACCAAGTGGGAAAGTTTGAAGCAGAACTAATTGTTGAGAGAGGATGGAGGGAAATTTGTTCCATTCAAAGATATGCTATGCTCATGCATCTTTGTATGTTCGACGTTCTTTCGCACTCTGAAACTAAAGTCCAGGCTTACTTTCTTCATGCAGTTCTGCAATATTCAAGTGCCAGAACGAATCGTTGTGAATAATGCAATAGACTTTCACCCCATTCTTTATAGCACTTATAGAAAACCCTTTAAAAGATCACAGTGTTTGTACATTAATTCTCTTCTTGCAGACCCCATCTTAATACACGTATCCTAGTTTTATTCTCATGGTTGGCTGTAGCATATTATTCTGTATACATGCTAACTTTCAACTGTATCTACCACCCAATGAAATGGTTGGCTCTACCATTAGGGAGAATTAGGGAAGCATGAATCTGTCAAATAGGATTCCACTCAGTTTCTCATTTTTCCCAGCATTAAATTCCTCCTGCCCTGTTCATTCTGTCAGCTTATTCCCCGCTTTAAAATTCTGCAGGAAAATTTGTCCATATCTTCATGTACATGACCCCTGGTATGCATGTGCTTGTGTACACATTTACACTGTTGGAATTTTCCCCTAATATATGCATTTAGTCTGCTCTTTTCCCTAATGTACACATTTTCATGTGTACATATACACATGTGGACTGGCCTTGGGGAATGTTAGTCTGCTCTTGGTGGGCCTATGCTGGCAGCAAGCCCTAGGCCTGTTGATGATCTTCAGTGCTTCATTTGGCCAGCAACAACCTACAAGGCACAGCTGATCATGATGGTAAAGAAGGCCAGCTAAGGAGAGGCACCAGTCTAGGAGACATCTATTCCATCCAGTTTAAATGTTCTTCCCCTTTGGAGAAGTAGGGACTAGAAGGCCAGGAGACTACTGTGGGTTCAATGTCTGTGGGAAACCTACCTACCTATAGTCAACTTCCTTTCTCTTTGCAATCCTTAGCCATTGGGAGTAGGTAGAGCAAGGAGGAAGCAAGCTGAGTCTGGATGGACCAGATGCTTCCCAGGCTGCTTCTGCACTACCTGGTCCTGGCTAGTTTTGTTTGCTGTTGCCATCATCCATCATGCTGTTGCCACATTCTTTGGTTGTTTTTGGGGTAGTGGCACAGCAATCAAAGGAGCGCCTTGCAACTCTCAAAGTAGCATTAGGAAGGAAAGCAAGAGCTTTCCTCAACACCACCCTGCCTCAGCACCCCCCATCCTGGGACCCACACATTGTTGCTGGGATAGACTTGCCAGCAGGCTGGCTAGAGGCACCTTGATTTAGAAAAATGGGTATGAATTTCCATGTGCATTTAGTTTATAATATTTGTAAGCTTGCTTAGAAACAGGACAGAATTAGCTTGATCTTAAAAAACAAAACAAAACTGACAAGCTCAGAGAGACAGAGACTGACAGATCTGTCCATCCCTATTCTCACTAGTATTTTAGAAAAGCTGCAACTGCATATATTCTCTTTTCTGTGCTATCGTTAAATATATGTTCCTGCATGAAATCTAGCAATCTCTGAAACATACCTCATAAAGGTAAGAATTACACAATTCAATGCACTGTTTCACTGAAATAGACAGAAGACATTACCATGTTAAAAAGCTATATGTATACCATTTTTACAGTTCTTAAAGATTAGAGATTGAATTTAGTGTAGTATATAAGCCTCTGTATTCAGAAAGCTTTTAATGCACCAAGCTATACTTTTGATATAGATCTAAATCTTTGTCTTTGGACTTTTAATTTCAGTAGGATTATTAGTTCCTGAATCTTTTTTTTTATTTTTTTGGACATTTTGTATTCCTTTATAAATTACAAAGAACATATGTATCTATCTTTTTCATCCTATATGTGAAAATTCAGTAGCTCTCAGCATCTTTACATATGCATGCTTTTGAACTGTTCAGTCACGATTTTCAAGTGAAAAATAATATTTTAAAATATGGTTTGAGAAAAGCACCTTGAAAGACTCTCTAGACATTGCCTCCCACACCTTTTTTAAAGGTACAGTAAGCACGGGGCAGGCAAGGAATACCTCCATGAAAGATACCTACAGGTAAGTCTGAACTGTTTCCTGGGCCCTCCTCCAGTATGAAGCAAACCATTTTCTTACAGGGATAAAGGAATGCCATGTATTTCTTCCAGTGTAACTTAACTACAGGTAGTTCCCAGGTTATGAACAAGTTCCATTCCTGAGAAAACAGAATTCGTCTTTTAAGTCGAGCTGAATGCAAGTTGGATCACATAGAGTTGACTGTCCACATTCACAGGCAGTTCAACATTGAAGGATGTGGGAGAAGAGGCTACACAAAAGCCTGCAAAAGAGGTAAAAGAGGTGGGGCAGAAGAGGATGTGCTCTTCTGGACATCTCTGGAGCATCAGGTTGGGGTCCTGGCCTGAGGTTCTGCACTCCTGCCTTAAAGTCCCGTAAAGCACACCTCATACTGTGATAGCATGCAAGCGTGATTTCCCTGAGCCCTAGGGGTCCACCAGTGTAACATGGAAGCAAAGAAAGGCAGAAAGGCACGGTACCATGACCCTCTTCAATGCTACTGAATGGAAGAAAAGAACCAGACTTGCAAGGACTGACTTGGATTAGCTTTATTTGCACTCACAAAGGCAGAGTGCCGAAAACCCATGAGTGGAATAATGGTGAAAAGGACAGGGATGCGAACAGATGCACAGGAAAACACTCACCTGGTGTTATCGCCATGCCATTGCCATTGACGACAGCTCTCTCTTCCTCCTCTTCCTCTGGAGGCTCTATTCCAGTCTTCTCCATATTGCTCACGGACTTATTTCTCTTGCGTTTGCCTTCAGCACTGGGTGTTGCACCTGGGAGGATCTGATCTGTTACATTTAACAATAATGGGGCTGGCTCTGCTGGAGGCTTTGGAGTACCGTAGTAGTTGTCTAAGGAAAAGAAAAAAAGGAATACCAGGAATGAGGATATGTGAGACCTACCCATTTTTTTCGTATCATCTGCATCTAAGCTTCCTAGTGGGTCTAAGATACCCATGAAAAGTCTCTGGACTAGCTTCAAACATAGAAGAGTGAAGAAGCAGTTGTGCCAACTATTGTCCACTATAGCAGTGATGTGCTGCATGGATGTGAAAGAGCTGGGAATTTGCACACAAATGTGTAGTAGTCTAAGAAAAATAATGTACCAACAAACATTTGCACTAAGAGCCACATTTTGCTACTATTCCCTGCCTCTGGCTAGCCTATGCAAGTGTTTACACATTCATGTAATAATAAAATAAACAAGAGAATAAGAGAATGTCTGTCTGTCTGTCAGCAGCATACCTTCAAGACGGTGACACCTAGACACTCAAAACCTGGCATGCGTACTTAAAGGTTCATTAGTGTTGTGGACCTCAGGATTATTTTGTTTCTAGAAATCATTCACTAAATGCAGTGATCTAAATGCATCCATGTGGTTGAAGACTACAACATTTTTAGTCACTAGGTGTAGACTTTCCCAAGCCACTGCAAAGCTTCTTCGCTTGAAGCTAAGGCAGATCAGCAGGCCAAAGGACAGTCCTTCATCTGCCCTCTCCTGCTGCTATGGGCACCCCTTCCCTGTGGGGGCTACAAGGACACCAGGGCAGGAGTGTTATTAACACGTATGCCTATCCTCAGATACATACACACAATGGACACAACACTGTTAGCTGGTAAATTTGCTTGAAGGCTTTGCTGTATGAAAGCAAGGGCCATTCCAACCTGTGCAAAGCCAGGGTTGTCTGCCGGTGTATTATCAGTGAAATATATATTCAGCTTTTCTGCTTTCAAAAGTGTCCAGTACAATAGCAATAAATTGAAAGCATCAAAATAGCTTTTAATCCACACTGCAAACTATTAACAGATAAATTGTATTAAACTAATGAACCGAGCAAATGAAACAATGGTTATAAGAAGGGGATGAATAGACAAACAGAAGCAGCTAGACCATCCATGTACCTTTTTATTTCCCAGAAAAGATGTCAGCTGGATACAATCCAGAACAGGGAATGCTTGGGATACTTAGCCACACTGACAAAACAACAAATCTGTGTTGGAACTCAAACCTGGTAGGTTGCTGCTGCATAGTTAACCAGAACAATATTTAAGTTCTTAAAGCACATCTATTCCTCCCTCCTTGGCTTTCCTCCCAGAGCATCCGATGACATATTTGCAAGCATGGGCCTGTCCTGTATTGCATCTCAAAGACCTTGCAAAACCTTTGCATGAATCTAAAAATTAATTTTAATTGAAATTGTAATTGATTTTGTTGGAGAGACAGTTCAAATTAAATCAGACAGACTGTGTGTCATCCAATCTTTGGGGATGTTTGGACTGGTATGAATCCTCAGTCAGAGCTTTATGACATTCATGCCCTGCAAGTGCACTAAAGCCAATCACTGAGTTATAGTTCTGCCCTGACCTGCCCTCCCTCCACGGAGTAAAGCATGTCATGCACATCTACTCCTCCACAGCTACTCAGTGGGGGAAGTAAGGCTCACAGAATTGCACTGGCCTCTTGTCACCCAGTGAACTTCATGGCTAAGCAAAGATCTGGATGCAAGCCTCACCTGGGGTAGTGGGATGTTCTAAGGATAGTTCTACACCTGACTCATACTGGGCTGTTACAGAAGGCGCACTGTGAGGATGCTTAGAGTACATAGTTACTCTCTGCACAATGTCCTGATCTTTTTGTGGAGATGTAGAATGTAAAAGTTTTGGTTAACATCCTAAATAGCTTAGGACCAATGTACCAGAAGAAACATATTTCTCTGCAAGAATTTGTCCAGATAGTAAGATCTTTTAAGGGTCTTCATATTTAGAAGTGATGTGGGTGGTGATCTGAAAGGACCTCATTTCCTGGGAACTGTGTCTCTTCTGAAGGGCACCATCTTTTCTAGTGATGAGTATGATGTCTTTTCAGTGTGATGATTTTTTAAAATAGTCTGGGCATTTCAGATCTGTTGTTTTAAGGGTATCATCCTATGTATGTTTTGACAGAAAAAAAAGTCCTACAACTCCCAGTATTCACCAGATAGCCATGGATTATATCCTAAGTTGTTTTGGTTATCCACTGGATTCCGTTTTTAGAATTTACTTTTCTGATTTTTTGTTGTAATATGTTTGCGGTCTGGTCACTAATCAATTCCAGGCACTTAGGAATGACATTGATTTTCTAGATCTATTTCAAATTTAGGCCTTTAAAACTATAAGCCTTTAAAGCCGTAAATGACTTCAGAGAAGATTATGTGAAGGAGTGTCTCTTTTTTACCTACCTAAGGTCAACTTCTGAAGCTCTTCTCCAGGTGCCCACACTTAGCAGAAGACCACTTAAAAGTGGGCCTTTTCCATGCTGGATTTCATTCTAGTTATGGAATATCCTACCTAGAGAAGCTCATCTAGCCCATCCTCTTATGTGTTGGCACTTTTTTCTTCCTTGCACTGTTGTTGTCCTCTTCTATTTTTAAGTTTGTAGTCATAACTTGTTTTAGCTCTTACATTGTTTTATTATATCCGTGTATTTTGTACTTTTAACCTGTGTTTTATGAACTGTCCACAGAATATTGGTTGGCAGTACGAAAGGCAGTAAGCAAACAAGGGCACATTCCTATGTTGCAAGAGTGACTTTGGGAAGGGGCTTTGGGAGGCGTTCAGAGAGGCAGAAGGGAGGAGACAGGTGTTGCCCAGATGCATCGTATCTGAGTGGCACCACAGCCACTCTCCAAAGGCCATTCTGCAGTGCTTCAAGGGGCTGAACTTGGCTGTTCAGCAGAGCTGCAGGGCAGGAGAAGCACAGAGGCAACCTTTGCCTTCACGTTGCTGTCACCCTCCATAGGACGCCTGTAAGCTTCTGAGCTCAAAAGCTTCTGGGCATTCCAAGCTGCTTGCAGTATAAATAAATGATACATCAATAAATGCACTGTTGTATAAATGTTAAGCGTGATCTGTTTTCACATTTACTGGTTTGAGTTATTTTTATCCCAATGTGTCACTAGATTCTGCATTTAAAGTGCGTAGCCTTTTGGAGAGATAAAAGGCACGATATAAATATTCATAAATGCAATAATTAAATAGTTTGGCTTTCAACCTGCCTCCACCCTCATCTACTCTTCCAGCTGAAGAAATTAATGTTGCACTGCTATATTTAGGATGTTGTGATGAAGGAAAAGAATGTGGAAGGAACTTTTTGTGATGGTTTTGTCCAGTATCTCATGGTCACTACTCCCTATTAGACTCACCTATGGCAGCCTTCAGATCAAGACCCTGAGGGGAAGCTAAAGCCTTTCAAGCAGGCTTCCTAACCCTGTGGCTTCCAGAGATGTTTGGACTGCAGCACCCAGAATTCCCAGTCAATTGCCCTGCTGGATGGGAATTCCAGGAGTTGTGGTCCAAATGCCTCTGAAGGTCATCAGGCTGGGGAAGGCTGTTCTACAAAGCAGAAACTGGGTCTGGGTCAGACATGTGAAAGCATGGTATGGCTCATCCTTACCGTTTCAGCATGCCGAGGTCTAGTTTGCTATAGATTCAAGGCATATAATGCAGCACAGAACTTGTACAGGAGAGCACAAGACATGCCTTATTAGTAATATGCACCACGAAACAATAGACAAGGCTGCCGTAATTCAGAAAGCCAGCAGTCTAGTGTAGACGCTCCCAAATTACCCTTATGTTCCTAAAACCGACCAGAATCCGTGGGGTTTCCTGAAATGGCATCTTTCACATGTTTAGATAGCAGATTATTTATGCGAATGCTGGATCACTACAGGATGTTTTCACTGATGTCTGTTCTACATTTGCAAGGTACATTTCCTACCTTACACAAAAAACAATATATGCAGGCGATAGAAAAAGTACTGGGGATCGCAAGGAATGTTCAGCCAGCTTACCTGACCTTACTACAGAGAGGTAATTAACAAATGCAACAACTGAGATTTCTTCACCTTGCAGTGACATTATACAGAACAGATGTTTCAGTAATTGTGATTCACTAAGAAAATGCACCGTGCCTAATGGTTCTAAAACTCACATTAGGCTTTTAGTACACAATATGTTGGAATCTTGTTCTCTTAAATAGCTGCTGCAAATCTTCATTGTTGTTGCAATTTGGCATTTATTTGAGCAAAAAATCTTAATTTATCAGACATTAAAATGCTCCTAATTCACATGTGAAGCTTTGAAAGGACAGTTACTAAGTTGTCTAAAATCACTAAAACATCAAATGAAGTTGCTCAGCTTGACAGTAACATTAGTATTTCTAAGGAGAGCAAAGAAGGGGGTACATTCTCCTTGGTTTGTTCTAAAAGCTGAGAATAAGTTGTAAATAGTAAGATTTTAATTCATTTCCTTCCTGTAATGTCATGAGGGTATGTCTCCTTCCTGAACAGAAATGTTGCCTGGGTGCGAATATTTTTCTTTGTTGAAATGTTTAATTGTATTTCACAATTATGATTAAAATATGATTTTAATTGTGCGCCACACTGAGTTGCTCTTGGAATTCGCTTGGCAGCTTCAGCCTTTGAAGAACATACCAGATCACTTGCTGAATAGAGCATTTGAGTATAGTGTGTACATACATATGCTCTGCCCCCACATTTTCATGGCTTAAATGCAATACAAAATGCTAATCAGAAATGTCTATATAGATTCATCACTCGGATAAAACAAAATGGGGGGGTGTACTCCTACCAGTGGATGGCAAAAAAAGGGAATAGTTAACAATTTAGATAGCAGTTTTAAGAAAAGGTCTTGTAGAATCATAGGATACAGATAAAACCATGATATAAATGCGAATATTATGTGGGAAACAGTATCACCAGGCAAATTAGTGTCTATGGGAATCCATTGTACTTGATGTGAGTGGATGGTGATTTGAAGCTAAAAACTTTCTTCCTATGGTAATCCACTGGCAA